GGCCCTGGCACGGGGGCAGATGGGCATCTGGTGTTACCCTGGTTGTTTCGATCCCAACGATGCCGGTCAATTTTGATGGCTCCAGGTAGGACGGAAAGCAAACGCAGATTTGAAAACACCAGGAAAAAAAACATATTATGGCTGTATTATGGCTGTTATACTTGGAATTCCTTTGTCAGCCCACAAACAGCAAAAGGAAATGAATTTGTGGCAGGCTGCTCCCCAAAAATCGTAGTAGGCCAGGATGATTTGGAAACTTGAAGCATTTCAAGATGACAAAGAGGCCAGTTGAGATATCGTTGCACCCAAATCAAACATGATAAATGATAAATAAAACCGTCATGAGTTTTCCAAAATGCCTGCGAAGGTCTTCACTTCTGAGCACCGCACGGATACGTGAAGGTCGACTCAGTGATTCTGTAGACCTTGCTACGACGATGGACTAATGACTCCGGTACCGGCTGATTTGTAAGACCTACATACAATATCATACAATATCATACAATATCATACAATATCATACAATATCATACAATATCATACAATCAATATCAACTGCAGAATTGATGTTACAATCACAACCCTCATCCTTCTACAGATTTTTTTGCGTTACCCTCTGGTAATTTAAGACTTTGCCAGAGAGAATAATCCATTTGTAGATGATTTACAATTCATTTGCCATGATTTTTTTCGCCATTTTTCGTGGCGTAGCAGCGTAGCAACTCCACGCCGAGCATCTTGTTGGCCCGAGTTAGCGGGGATGAGATAGATGTAGCTGCCAACCACGAAGCCTGTCGGTTGGATCCAATGTGAAATCCTAGGATCGCAGGGGATGTTTTTGCAGTAAGCCCCTACATTTGCTGGTAAAAAGATGTAAAAACCATAAGTTTGTAGATGTTCCGTTAAAACGATCCATTAACAAATCATCAAACTGAATGGCTATGAATGCTCAAACCAGCTGAATCACACTAACTTGCTGTGTCCGATCAAACACGTTCCATTTTTTCGTTTCAAAGTACCTGTGTGTTTGAGGCCAGACCCCTTTGAACTGACAGAATGACATCAACAAATCATGAAACAGATCACCATTAAAATCATTATATGTGCCATATCACATATTAATATATTAATAATAAAAGGACCGGAAAACCCCACAAGTCAACTGTTGTAGCGGGACGGGGAAGGAAGGAAAGACAAAGGAGGAGGTGGAGGAAAAATGGTGTGTGACAAAGTTGCGTGTGAAAGATGATGTGTGTGAAAGATGGTGTGCGAAAGATGGTGTGTGACAAAGCTGTGTGTGAAAGATGGTGTGTGAAAGATGGTGTGTGACAAAGTTGTGTGCGAAAGATTGTGTGTGACCCAGTGGTGTGTGAAAGATGGTGTGTCAAAGATGGTGGGTGACAAAGTTGTGTATGTGAAAGATGGTGTGTAAAAGATGGTGTGTCAAAGAGGGTGTGTGAAAGATGGTGTGAGAAGTGGAGCTGTGATGGGTTGTGATGTGAAAGGTGAGGTGTGAGAAGTGAGGTGTGAGAAGTGGAGCTGTGATGAGTGAGTGTGTGAGAAGTCAGGTGTGAGAAGTGGAGCTGTGATGAGTTGTGATGTGATAAGTGAGGTGTGAGATGTGATGTGATAAGTGAGGTGTGAGAAGTGGAGCTGTGATGAGTTAGTGTGTGGGAAGTGAGGTGTGAGAAGTGGAGCTGTGATGAGTTGTGATGTGATAAGTGAGGCATGTGTACTGCGCCTGCCACACGAAAGGCAGCCGCGGCCCAGCGGCGCCCACACGCGCCGCAGCTCGACCAGGAGGCTCTGTGTACTGCGCCTGCCACACGAAAGGCAGCCGCGGCCCAGCGGCGCCCACGCGCGCCGCAGCTCGACCAGGAGGCTCTGTCTACTCCGCCTGCCACACGAAAGGCAACCGCGGCCCAGCAGCGCCCACACGCGCCGCAGCTCGACCAGGAGGCTCTGTGTACTGCGCCTGCCACACGAAAGGCAGCCGCGGCCCAGCGGCTCCCACGCGCGCCGCAGCTCGACCAGCAGGCTCTGTGTACTGCGCCTGCCACACGAAAGGCAGCCACGGCCCAGCGGCGCCCACGCGCGCCGCAGCTCGACCAGGAGGCTCTGTGTACTGCGCCTGCCACACGAAAAGGCAGCGAGATGGGAGATGTGATAAGTGAGGTGTGAGAAGTGGAGCTGTGATCAGTTAGTTTGTGCCCACGCGCGCCGCAGCTCGACCAGGATACTCTGTGTACTGCGCCTGCCACACGAAAGGCAGCCGCGGCCCAGCGGCGCCCACGCGCGCCGCAGCTCGACCAGGAGGCTCTGTGTACTGCGCCTGCCACACGAAAGGCAGCCGCGGCCCAGTGGTGCCCACGCGCGCCCGATGTGATAAGTGAGGTGTGAGATGTGATGTGATAAGTGAGGTGTGATAAGTGAGGTGTGAGATGTGATGTGATAAGTGAGGTGTGATAAGTGAGGTGTGAGAAGTGGAGCTGTGATGAGTTGTGGAGGTGGCGGAGGAGAACGCGGCGGACGGAGGGGGAGAAGCGGCGGGATCCAAGCGAAAAACAAGAACCCCACACAGTGATGTGGGGAATGACTAATGGTGATAATAGGTGATAATGATGTATTATCACATATTATCACCTTTCATAGAATTAATATGGATTAATGATGATCATCACATATAATGGCGGCCTCCAGGCATGTAGTCCTGGTAGGTGCTGATGTACACGCCGTTCATGGTGCTGAGGTCCTCAGAGCGACAGCAGATGCACACCTGGAGATATGAGGGTGGTGCGTGCAGTCACCAGTGAGACGTATCTCTGCATAGATTTGCATGCATCGAAATACAGTAAAACATAGATATTATATAATTTATATGCGATTAAATTACGTATAGTATAGTATGTTATATATATATATATAGATTGTTATCTATATGAATATGGATCTTCATTGTTCTCAAAATTTGATATGCAATTGTCATCAATGATCCGATCATCGTCGATCATCGTCGATCATCGGAGCACATCCGTCTGAGGAGCCCCACCACTTTCCAAACATCGACCATGTCTCAGCGGCGCCGCGAATAAAAAAAGGACCCATTGGATGATCCAGCTGCCATGGCATCATGGATGGCATCATGGATGATCCGGAGAAAAGAAACGCCTACAGAAACTCAAATTTGGGACCATAGAATTGGTGTTTTTTGATAAGGGGAATGGGATTATATGGGATTACGTACCAAACACATCCAAAAACTTTTAGCTTTTAACAATCTCAGCTAATTTGACCCCATGTAGATGATGATTAGCTGCACCATTTGGATGATGATCTATCTACCTGCGATTTCCACTTGAAATCACCAGTATCACAGTCGTGTCACAGCAAAATCAGCACTCAGCCCAGCAACTGGACGTCGGGAGCAAGTAGAAGTTCATTCCATCAGCAAAGGCCCGAAAGAAGCTACCATAAGAACCTCAGAGGAAAGTTACCCCAGCCACACTGTGGAGATAATGGTAGCCCCTGCAATGCAACAGCGACCATCATTTATGCCGGGTTGACATTAGTGGCGTTTCCTTCACGAAATCACCCCAGAAGAGAGAGACATTAGATGAATTCTAAACAGCAAAGGTCACCATAGGATGGCTGATTCAGAACCTGATCCGCGCACACCCACCTCCAGAAGCCAGGGACACCGTTTTCTTAGTGACCTGCCACAGAATAGTTGGAGATTCTAAGGGAACCTAAGCCAGTTCTCACCTGCCCAATATTTCAGGAGCTTCGACGAATTCAAAACGTAAAAAAAAAACATGGATATTCCAAGTTTAACTGAGCATCTATTAGTACAGGATTTCCCACTAATGGATTTCCCAGCCAGTTATGCTTGATTACCAGAGGGTATCCAGGTGAATTTGAGATATGGACATGGAAATGCTACAACAAAAGGCATATTATTCGCAACAAAGATAAGTGGCATACAGCGCAGGATAAGGATGATGATTATGATTGTTATGATGAGGGTGAGGATGAGGATGCGGATGAGGATGAGGATGAGGATGAGGATGAGGAGGACTATGATGGCTATGATGGCTATGATGATCAGTAATATCATTATTGTCGTCATTATCATTATGATTATTATCACGGGCATTATCGTTATCATCGTATTTGTTATTATCATTATCAGTCTTGTTATCATATTTATTATTTATAATATATATATGTGTGTTATTCTGTATTATCATCATCACTGTTACTATCATCACTATTATGCTGATCACCTTCATCGCGATCTGAAGCTGCGAACAGAGTGACTGCACTGCACCGCTGTAAAAACAAACAGAATCTGCGGAACCGTGGCCTGAGCATAAGAAACATCCCTAATATGACAGGGGTTGATTTGCCATGTCCTACTTTTTGATATATCACCTCACTATTGGGGATATCAATGGATATCATCATCTCATCTCCACCAGCGAATTCCAAGTGCCTCCCCATCACACCTCGGTCAGACACGGATGAAACATGGGAAGGATTCCAATTGGAGTTGACTCGGCAAAACTTTTAAAAAAAAAACGTGGGAAAATGATGCTGGATATTTAAAAAAAATGGTGGTTTTATGATGAAGAGGATAATAATGATGATAATGATGATAATAATGATAACGATGATAATGATGATGGCAATTGACAATTTAATTTATCAATGAAATTGATCTTTTTCTCCACAAAGGAAAAAATGTTTTTCTGGTTATCTCCACCCAAGTGGCAAAATCTGAAACATCTAAACCCACTCCGCAGCTTGTGCCCCAGTGCGAGAGTTACAGCTGCTCCCATGGTAACACCATGGTAACACACACTGGATCCGCGTCTTTCACACAGCGACGTCCTCTATTCGACTCATCATCCAATAATCTAACATGGCTGAAAAAAAAAACAGCATGATTTCCATGATTTATCTAGGATTTATCTACGATTGACCATTATTTGTGCTTGATG